TTATTTTCTTGCAAGATCATTGACTTAAAGACTATTAATTATGTGAAATAATTAAACAGATGGTAATAATTGTTAAATCTTTTGACAGTATGCATGGCTTGCTCACTTTAATTATGAGTAAACGACGTGCTCCCACCCACTGTTTATCGAAATGGCAAGTTCTCATCCTTATTTTTGTCAATTATAGATTCTCTTTAAATTAAACGGATGTGTTTGATTTATTATTTTAAATAAAGTTTTAGGAATAATATTGAATAGTTAGATAAGGTTATGATTACGAAAATAAAATTTTTAAAATATGTGTTTGGTAGAGTATTTTGACATTGATATTTGTGTTGAATATTTGATTAATATATTTTTTTATAAATGATTTATTAATATAATACACAGATCAAACAAAAACCCATTCACAATCCATTCGTGCCAAACAAATAAAAAAACGCAAAATAGCATCTCCTTGTACATAGATCTGAGGTGGGTATTCACAATCCATTCGTGCCAAACAAATAAAAAAACGCAAAATAGCATCTCCTTGTACATAGATCTGAGGTAGGTTTGATTCAGATGGGGGTGTGGGTTTGATTCAAAGGGGGGTGTGGGTTTGATTCAAATGGGGGTGTGGGTTTGTGACAGATCAGGGTGTGGGTTTGTGACATATCGGGTCACGGTGGGTTGGTTTGTGACAGATCAGGTCACGGTGGGTTGGTTTGCGACAGATCGGGTCACGCTGGGTTTGCATGTGATAGATCGGGTCACGGTGAGTTTGTGTGTGACAGATCGGGTCACGGTAGGTTTGTTTGTGACAGATCTATTTCCGGGTTCACGATTGGGGATCTAAGGTGGGTTCGCGGTGGGTTTGTGACAGAGGGATTTGCGGGTTCACGGTGAGAAGTGAAGTACTGAAGCTGGTACTAGATACTAGAAAGTGAAATGGTGGTAATGCAAACTGGGAAGTGAAGCACTGAACCTAGTAATGGATTATCAGAAACTGAAATGGTGGTGATGGATACTAAGAAAGTGAAGCACTGAAAACGGTAATGCAAACTGAGAAGTGAAGCACGAAGCTGGTAATAGATACTAAGAAAGTGAAATGGTGCAAACTGTAATGGTAAAAAAAAAATTTGTCAGGATTGAACTTTCAAGACAGTATTGTGTAAATAATAAAACAAACACTATCTGTAGAATCAGTCCAGAATATGAATAAAAATACTTAGCCAATCGTACCCAACAATGTTAATATTTTTTTGGTTTTGATAAAATATAAAAAGGGTTATTACCAAACAGCCTTTGACAAATAAATTAATAAAATTTTAAACCCCCAAATTATTAGAATTAAAAATAATCTTTTACTTTCAAATTTATTTCATTGAAACTCTCTTCTTCAACCTTTGCATCATCCCCATTTATAACCACCTAGCCATTGTCAATGCCATTACCACCACAACCTAGTCAGTGTCACCACTATCACCACCGCCACCGAACCACTATCACCATCCAGTCAAATTAATAAATAGTTGTCACCAACCCTAAAAGCAAAAACAATATATCTTTTTTATTCTTTTTCCTTTTTAGATTTTTTTATTCTTTCAATATTAAGGGGGTATTTGTCTAAACTTATAAGTTGGTCAAACTTGCTTATAAGCTCTAAAATTAAGCTGACCTGTTTGTTTATAATTTTTTTGAGCTTATAAGCTAAAAAAAATAAGTTGGGGGGGAGGTACTTTTTTTTTTTTGGCTTATAAGCACTTTGCTTATAAGCTAGTTTGACCAAGTATATTACCATATTATCTTTATTTAATTTTAAAATTCTATAGTATGCCATTGTTTAATGTAGTACCTTTTTTAGTAATTTTATAATAAAATGTACTTATAAGCCACATTTTACCAAACACGTCAATTACTTATCAGTCACTTATAAATACTTTAACCAAACATGTAATTGCTTAAAATTTTAAATGCTTATAAGTTAATTTTAGCTTATAAGCAATTGTTGCTTACAAGCTAATTTTCATAAACTCACAAACACCCCCTAAATCTTCTCTTCTGCATTTAGTCTAATCCTCCTCACTAACTTACCACATCCTAAAACGGTTCATTCTCTCATCCTTGATATCACTCAAACTCTCTACAACATGGCGGCTAAATCTCTACTGCATTCCTCTATTTCTTTTTTTGGTAACCGATCACATTCCTTTGTTCCACCAAAGCCTTCTCATTTCTTCAACTCTCAATCAAATTTGATCAACTTTAGAACATCCTAGTTGGGGTTTAAGCCAAGAAACCTTACAATGCCCGAGGGGGTCAAATGGGGAAAATATGTCATGCTTGTTTCACTACCTGCTTCAACATCCTGTAAACCAAAGCAAATCTCCATCAATTCATACAGATCATTGTAATATTTGATAACCTGAACAATTGACTGAACTTGCTCATATGGATCCAAATCAACACAAAATCCCAACCCATCGGGCCTATTGCACCAGATCTGGTCAATTGCAGCCCCTACTCCCCAATCCACTGCCTACCTCCAGTGGTTGTGTCGACCGCGTCTTATTGGTTTTCATCGCGTTTGCTTTGCCAAACTTTGAGATCGGTAGATCTCGCAACTGCATCGCGACAAGTTCACGGTGTCTTTCGGATTTTGGTGGTTGGTGTTGTCACGACTTTGTTGAGTACTGCTGCTCGTTGCTTCGTGTCATGCCCTCATCTTCTCTTTACGTTGCCAAATGCCCATCTGAGTGCTCCCTGACGCCGAGAGAGTTCTTTCACTAGAGGATTAAAGTCGAGAGTGATGTGGACAATAAGCACACTATTCACGGCTTCCAATTTGGCTAGATTGGGTTAGGGAGGGAGAGAGATGCGCGAATGCCTGTTAGGGAGAAAAATGGGAGGTTGTGGCAGAGGGAGTGAGATCGAAGCGACGGGAGAGAAGAAGTAGTTTTAGAGAAAGAGTGTTTGAAAGAGAATTTTGAGACGTGGAAGGTTATTTTAAAATTTTTATTTTTTGTTTAGATTTAATGTAGTTTAAATGACAATTTTACCCTTTAACCATTAAATTAAAAAATTTTCTGTTAATTTAAGGGTGGTTATCTAGAATTTATGAAACTAAGGGTGGAAACTTGTAATTTTGCTAAACCTTGGGTGTGAACATGTTGTTTACTCTTTAATTATTGATGCAACTAATTTACCACCATGAAATAGAAAGTTTAACTGTGCATTGACATTGACATAAGCATGGGGAGTTTGGTCAAACTTTTCGAAAGCGGTTAAGAGAATGTTGGATTATTGAGAATGTTTGATTATTAGAAAGTTAGGTTACCTTGAAGATTACTGGGAATCTTTAGGAAAATGTATTTGATTAATTGGTAGATATATTATATTAATATGTTTGGTTGAGATGAATAAATTGGTAGGTACGTTATTTAAATGACTGAATTATCCTCTAATTAAATATTATTATTATATTATTTTTTAATATTGATTATTATTTGTATTATTATAACCCCCTGCATTTAAAAACTTAGCAAAAACAACCCTGTAATAAAAGTTTAGAAAATCAACAAAGCACTCCCACCAACCCAGCCACTGCCAACAACCACCGCAAGCCGCCGACAGCCTACAATGTAATGGCACACGGAAGTTAGGAAATGACCTCCGTCCTTAGTATGGCCATTTCCAGCCAGAGATCTAGTCGAAAATGGTCAGACATGACAGATCTAGTCGAAAATGGTCAGACATAACAGATCTAGTCGTCGACGGCCAGATATCTTGCCGGAAATGGCCATATCGGCGCACGACAGCTATTTTCTGCCTTTCATGTGCCGTTCCGGTGGCGGCGCCTGACAGCGACGGTGGTTGCCGACAGCAAGCGACGACAGGTGGGTAGGGTTGGTGGCTTGGGTGGATTGCAATTTGTTTTGAATTGAAGGGTAATTTTGTCCAAAAAGTTAATTAATTTGGGTGAAATAGTAAAAGTCATATTCATGTAAATAAATTTAAAAATAAGGGCATTATTGTCCTAAAATTTTATTAATAAGGGATATAATTATAATAAAAAAAGACAACCCTGGTAATCTTAGAATACCTAAGAAAATGAAGGTAATCAGATTACCTCTAATATTATCAATAGTAATTATTATTGGTATTTGAAGATTATTGATATCTTATATTACTTGATAACTAAACATGATAATCAAGTAATATAAGATTACTTAACCTAATAATCTCCAATAATCCCCCAACCAAATGCCTTCTTGAACTCATCAATGATGCCAAATGGTGCATCAACAAGAATAAAAGTTTTTTTTTTTGCCCTAATCTTGTCAACTCTAAAAATTGAGAATCGGATAAATTATCACAATTATCATCCAAGTAGATTGAAATCAAAACCTTTTGAATAATATAACTAAAACTCTTAATTGATTATTAGACCATTCGGTGGTGGTTAACAAAGAATATATATTTACTCTATTTGAATGATAAGTATGATCCTTCTGTCACTAAATTATAAATTTTAATTTAATATAAAAACATTTTTGAGATAAAATTAAATTTTGTATGAGATTTTGCTCAAATTTTAAAGATGTTTATCATTTTTTCATGCGTGATTAACAAGATATAAGAATCCTAAATACATAATAATATTTTTAGTTTGAATGTAAAATGTTGTTAATCGTTTAAAAACATATATCACGTTTTCAATATCATTCTCCCAAAACGCAAGTGTAATGTGTAACTGTAATCGCAGCAGTGAACCAACTTTAGATACCCTTTACGTCACGCGTCACGTGGAACAGTCAGATTTCAGATCCCACATGCCCTTCCCCACCGAATTATAACTTGTAATCGCACTATCAGATTCTCATGTCTCCGTAATTTCTCAACACCCACCTGCCCGTTTCCGTCTTTTCACTATCCTCCAGTATGCGGCGAACCAGGGTTCACTACCAAACAGACTAGCACCGCCACCCTTTCTCTCTTATTTTTTTTTCTAATTTACCCCTGAAAGACATCTTTTTCACTCTTTGTGACGTTTATCTTTTCATCCTCTCCTCGCTCATTACAAAATTTTGTCGCCTTCTTCTTTTCAAGCTCCTTTTAAGCTCATCGTAAACCAATCCAGTCTACTCCCAGCAAAAAACCCTAACCCGTTCAAGTTTGACTCACTGAGTGAACCGATTCAACTCAACCGAAAATGAGACGCTTCACCAGGATTGAATTTGTTGAGCCTTACTATGCACCACCACTCTTCGTCAGAGAAACCTCCATTTTCGCGCCAACGCCATTATCATTTTCCTCATTTTTCGAAGAAGAATACGATCGAAGCTTCGCTCTCGATCTCTTGACTCCTAAACCTAGTCCCTTTGAAGTTCTTGATACTGTCACCGATCTGGTCCAAATTGAGAAAACGCCGTCGCTTTACTCCTACAAGAGAGTTCAGAAGAGGTTCGCACCTGAGTTTGCCTTGGAGACTCTGTGTGACAGAGTGACCGCGCTCGAGTCGAGATTTGACAGGCTTGTCAACGCGAAAGCCAACGAAGGGAACAGGAAGTACACATGGACGGCGGAGATCGAGGGCGGTCCAGTTGATCGGAAGTATAAATGGACTGCTGAAATTAAGGAAGGGAAAAAGAAGGGGAAGGAAGAGAAAAAGAAGATTGATAAGAACTATAAATGGACGGCTAAGATTAAGGGAAAAGGAGAAGATGGTCCGACCTTGAGGACTTACACCTTTGAAGCATCAACTGGTGATGCAGGTGACTGTAGCAAATCAGATAAGAAAGAGAAGAAGAAAGATACGAAGAAAGGAGAGAATGACAGGCGTGTGGTGGAGATCGAAGAGCCTTGCGATCATGGGGCTCTTGTTTTAAGACAGGTATGTCAATTTTTTTTCTTTTTTAATTAAATCCTTTGCGACAGCGAGTGTTAAATTTAAAAGTAGTGTATTATTGTGTGTGGTCAATTGTAATTGAAACCCTTTACTGACCTGTAGACACGAATTATCTGATTTGTGAAAATGACTACATGATGAAGACATGGAGAATTTCGTGATGTTGATTGTTTGTTCCCTTCTATGTATCTTAATTAAGTGTTTATCACTGCCATCTGCTAGTTTCCTGATATTATAATGGTATGAAAGTGAATTTAATTTTTTTAATTTTATTGTTAGGTGTGTGTCTTGAATTTCAGTTGAAGTAGCGAATAAGCGAATTGGAGAAGGTTTTGAACCATATACATAATACAGTCGCACATTTCCCTTTCAGGGTATAATGCGGGCTGCCATTTTTTTTTTTTTTTTTTTTAAGTTTTTAATTTTGGTTCCTTTGAGCTGAAACTAGACTCCGGTGAATTAGTGATCAGATTTTCTTCTTCTTATGCTTGTCTCAGTAATACATCTTCAATGCAGCTCTAGGTCATTCAATGATTGCATTTGGGAGAATATAATTTTATACCATTCATTCCTGAATTAGTAAACAGGATTGTATTTTACCAGTCTCCTGGCTAACAATTTATTGGATTGTTGACTCATAATCAAAGTCCAGGGATCCTGAGTATTGCAGATGACAAAAAGAAAAAGATTATATGAATGGAAAGGCATGCATTTTCTTTTTCAATTGGAAGGATATGCTTCCTAGTGGTTTACAATACCAGGTCCTGTTGATATTAGTGAATTATGAACGGTTGATGAGGTTCACCACATTTTTATTTATCGTTATCTAACTGTTTTTATAGACCTTGTATCAGAGTCTATATAGGTTCGCATTTAATTTCCCAGATTATTTCATTATCCACATTAATTTCTTAAATTAAAGCCACATCATTTGAGAAGTATAGTACTATTCATTCTAATTGTTAGTGATTCAAATGCATCCTTTGTTTACTTGATTATACCCCTATTATTGAAGGAAAATAAATCATATCATTCTTATTTTCGTAAACACGCAAATCCAATCCTTATGAACTTATAAAGCCTTTATGCCTTTATTATTCTGTACTAAAAGCTTATATGTTCTTTTACTTGAGTGTTCCCGATGTTCTGAGGCTCTAATGTTCTATTTTCTTGTCGAGGAAGGCTTTTTCAAAAAGACCTGGAGTTGTTAGAAACATCAGGGGCAAGCACAAGGAACTGTCTCCTCAAGATGCAGCAATAATGATTCAGATGACTTTCAGAGCTTATCTGATTCGAAGATCTCAGGCTCTTCGTGCGCTTAGAGATCTGGCTGTTGCAAAGACGAAGTTGAAGGAGATTAGAGCATTGTTCAACAACTTCTCCTACCGTCGTCAAGTGGCTCGTGATGCAGAAGAGCGACAAAGGTTCTCAGAGAAAATTATCGTCCTACTCCTCACTGTTGATGCCATTGAGGTAAGTTTACTTGTATTTCAGAAAGCTGCTTTACTTTTTTACTTCTATTTGGTGATTTACCTTTCATGCATACATAGTTGGGTATATGGTCTGCAATAACGGTTGTTGCTCTGGTAATTCTTAATGTTGTTAACCATAGTTCCTTCTTTTTTTTTTTTTTTTTTTTGATTTTGACAATCTTATCTAGAAGCAAGCTTCTATATGAGATGTTTTTATTTGAGTTTGATTAATGTGTGTTCTTGGAAAATTAATTATTTGTATATATTAGGTAGTTTATTTTAAGTTAATTAGCCAACTAAAATGGTGTATTTACTCTCATTTGGTATATGTGTAAGCATGTAGCTTATGCTGACAATTCAGGGATGATACAGGAATCTGTCACTGAATTAGTTTGTCTTGCCCATTTTCCTTTGTATAATAGGAAATAAGTGCACTAAAAATGCATTCAGTAGTGTTGAACTTTGCATATGTGGTTGGTCTGCCTTTCGCTTGTATCTTTCACCCTTTCCTACAGTGCTGAAGGTTGCCAACTCTCATACCCCTTATTAACATGTTTTTTTTCTCAATAAAGTGTCAATGGGGGTGGACTCAAAACTTGAATTAGAAGTTTCTTAAGCACAACACTTTGATATGGTTGCTAGATTTATAGGCAGTGGCTTTTAGCACTAAAACTCGGGGTATGTTTGGGAGTCCGGATTGGACAGGACTAGGCTTATTTCTTGTCTACCCACCTTAAAACATGTGCTGGCATGACCCACTTTAAAAGTAGCCCGGCATGGGTTCGTGCCAAAGCTCACAATAATGCGGGCCATAGAAAAAAGGCAGGGCCGGCACGGCGCGACTTGCTAAAAAAAGTACATATAAAAAAAATTAGTCGTTAATAACAAATATTATTTAAAATAGTGGGGTAACGACGGTTTTAAATAACCGTTACCCCCTTGCACAGGGGGTAATGGTTAGTTTAAATTATAAGGGAGTAACAATTATTTTTAAATAACCGTTACCTTCATAGGGGGTAACGGTTATTTTAAATTAGTCATTACGCAAGGAATAATACTATGTGCACTAACCATTTGTACTAATCTAAGTACTAATATTGAACATTTGAAATTTCCCCAAAAACTTAAAAAAAAAAAAAATTTAAAATTTCAATGTTAGTACTTGGATTAGTACTAATTGGTTAGTGCACATAGCATTACTCTTACGCAAGGGGGGTAGTGGATATTTCTTTTTTTTTTTTTTTTTAATTTCCCATTTATTCATACTTTAATTCCAGTCTTCATTAAGTGCGTGGGCTGGCTTGTGTGCTAGGCCCACAACACAACATGCTATATATCGAGTCGTGTCGTGGGGCTTCAGATTTGACGGGTCGACACGACATGACAAGGCATGAATTTTTGTGGGTCTTGGCATCACACGACCCATGGCACAAATTTTTGTGGATCTTGGCATGCATGGCCAACGACACGACAGGCCTAGGCACGACACGGCACGGCCCACTGTCGGCTCTAGTTGGGACGTAGGATTGGATTAGAGTCGACAGTGGGTCATGTCGTGTCATGCCTAAAAATGCAAGGTATGTCGTGCCATGGGCCGTGCTATGGTCTTAGCATGCAGGACAACTTGCCTGCTTAATGAAGACTAGAATTGTAGTGTGAAAAAATAAAAGAAATTTAACAGTTATTAACGATTAACAACTAACTTTTTTTGTACTTTTTTTAGCGGGCTATGTCGTGTCGTGTCGGCCTTGTGTCTTTTTTTAAGGCCCTGGCACGATACGAAAATTTTCGTGCAACCTAACACCACAATTCTTAATTCCTGAATTGAAAATATAATTTGAGTTATAAAGTTTCCAACCTAACACCACAAGCTCTAGTAAGCCCAACCTAAAATCATCTTTCACTGTGATTCATGTGAGATGTAAAAAAATCCCAACAAAAGGTGCATTAATTCTACAAGGAAAGAGTTGTACCTTAAAACCTACCTTATTCCTATATATTCTATTACAAGAATAAGATGGGTAGAATTTTCTAGTATAAGAATAAGTTAAAACCACTTTTTATATTTTATCATGCCCTAACCACTTTTTATATTTTTAGCGGGCTATGTCGTGTCGTGTCGGCCTTGTGTCTTTTTTTAAGGCCCTGGCACGATACGAAAATTTTCGTGTTATGTCAACCCATGTTGGGCTACTTGTAAGGCGGATTGAATCAATTGTTTAAAAAACATTGCAAGCAATAAATTAGTCCAATCGCATGTTGGGTTACTCTTTTAGGAGAATGGGACGAGACTTGGTCCCGTTCTCCTTGTTGGAAGTTGACAGTCTTTTTTTTTTTTTTTTCTTTTACATTTTATGTAATGTATATTAAGTAAATTAATGTTAATGTTTTATTATATTGCTAAAATGTTATTAATGTCATTATTAATAATATCATATTGTTCTTATATAATGATCTATTCTTAAATAATTTATACATTTAAAAGAATAATATCAGTAGAAATGTTTTAATAAATTTTGTATACTTAATTTAACTTTACTATCCAAAAATACAAATACTATATTCAATAATACTAAAATTTTTATTCGTGCGATGGAAATAATGATCTAAAATGATAAATTGTTAATTAATATATTTTCCATTTAAGTTTATTAAAAAATATAATATTGTTAGTATAAATTACTTAAGATAATTATTATTAAAAGTCAGATGATAGAATTGAGATGATTAATACCAATAGAATAGAATTATTATTATTATTTGAATAAAATTATATATTCATTACTTTATTTTATTAATATTCTTAAGTAGAATTTTCAATTTTAAGTCATAACATAAATATAAATATTGTTAACTAGGTAATGTTAATTTAATTTAATATATAATTATAACTGAGAAATTATTTACTCATATTATAAATAGAATGTTACAGAGAATTTTAATAATTGAAAAATAAAATATTAAATTAGTTTTAAAGATTTTTAATTAATTTTTTGATATATACGTTTATATCCAGTTCTATGTTATGCCAAATATAACGTAGTTCAGTTTATTTCAATCTGGAGAAGTAAACCTAGACTAACCCTAACTATCAAACACAATCTTAGTTGCATATCATTTGCCTATTGTAGGTGTGGTTTTTAACACTGTTTTCTACATTATTGAAATGAAGCATTAGTCTATATTGCTTTTCCATCTGATATTCTGATTCTTCGCAATGTTAGGGAGCTGATCTGATGGTGCGAGCTGCAAAGAGGTTAATGGTGGACGAGCTTGAAGCAATGCTTGAAGTGGTGGATCCTCAGCCAGCGGGAAGATCTCTTTCAATGAGGAGAAGGACCTTTGACATGCCTGATGGTGTTATTCAGAAAGAAATTGCAGCAGGCGTTGCACAGGTTGTACAAATGATCGACGAAGAGAAGGCTGCCGGCACTTTTGAGGCATGCATATAGTATAAGGTTGTGTAATTAATAAATCACCTCCCTTTTGGGGTCAGTGTTTTTATATGTTGTTATTTAAGTGTTTACAATTGGTCTTTACATTGCCTGAGGCTGAGGATTTTACTTGATGTGCTTGGACTTGTATTTGTGCTGGCTATTTATTTTTGCAACCTGAGTGAACTCTAGTTTGTTATCTCATTTTTCGGTAAATTTTTGTTGGTGAATGCGGTTGAGCCCATTTTCGCCTTGGATTTTATGGGTACGAAATCTTACAACTTACAAGCATTCCCGAGAAGTTCAATAGTATCAAATACGATGTTTACAATTCTTATTGGATTGTATGATCTTCTTTAGGTTTTACGGCCAATGGGCTTATACCCATTTTTTTAATTCAATCCAATGCTGAAATTAGAAAAAATAAGAAATAATAAAAAGTTAAAGAGTATGTTCAGTAATATCTCATCTTTTACGTACGAATTAGCGTAAATTTGTAGGTTATATTTGAACGACTAAAATTAATCTTAATATGCTTGATTTCAAAGGTTTTAGGAATATGTCCTAGATGCAAGATGGTTTTTTTTTTTTTTTTTTTTTTTTAATGACAAAAATGTTTTTTTATTCATGATAAATCATACAATGTACTAAATTGTTTGATAACTTAATCATCATAATGAGTTAGGCTCCTAAACTTCGATTGTTGTAAAGAACTATTTACATGAAGTGTTCATATATAGGAGATATATTTTTTTATAAGTCCAAAACTTGTTCACAACCTTAAATAAAGTTGGACACTTAATTTAGTTAAAGGTTATTGTGTTGTATGCCTTGATGGGGAATAACTCGAGAGTGGAAGGCTTTAGGCCAAAGATACTTGTGCATCTAGAATGTATTGAATAGACCACGTGAATTTTATGTTTAGTATAAATACCATAACTAAACATAAATTTCACACTCTAGCAATTAAGGACGTGTCTATCTAAATCCTAAGTAGATAGAGTAGCTCTTGTTTAAAATATGTTTTATTTGATTAGAATAAAAGGTGAGACCACATCTATATGGTCAATACCTTGATTAGTTGGAAGAATGTACTCATAAGCATTGAGAACTCTAATATATAAATACTGAATTCATGACACCTAAGTGAGATAAAATATCACCTTGAGGATTTTTCAAGGACTTTTGGATAATAATTTTGGCCAAGTATTAGATGATTAGATATTTAGATATTTAGATTAATGAAATTGAGATTGTGTTTATATTTGTATAAACTGTGACAACCTTAATCGTCCATTAGATGAAAAATGCTCTCAACGGATTAAGATGTAATTGAAAGGGTAAACGGTAAATTCTCCTAGCTCCAACTATTGATATTCAATGTGGGTGGGTGGGGGTATTTTTGTCAATTTATAAACTTTTTATTATCGGGACGTTTAGCTAAATTAACAAACTTTGGGGGTGTTTTGTTATTTTAAAATCCTACCTCATAATAACGACCCAACTCTACTTTTTCAAAAATACTACTCTAAATAATAAAACAAACACAGTCTAGAGCATGTTCATTAATATCTCATCTTTTACGTAGGAATTAGTGTAAATTTGCAAGTCATAAACTAATACATTTTGAACAATTAAAATTAATCTTAATATGCTTGATTTCAAAGGTTGTATGAATATGTCCTAGATGCAAGATGTTTTTTTAATGATAAACATGTATTTGATTCATGATAAATCATACAATGTATTAAATTGTTTGATAACTTAATCAACATAACGTGTAAGACTCCTAAACTTAGATCGTTGTAAATAACTATTTATATGAAATGTTCATATATAGGAAATATTTTTTTTTTTAAGTCCAAAACTTGTTCACCACCTTATATAAAGTTAGGCACTTTATTTAGTTAAAGGTTGTTGTGTTGTATGCCTTATGGAGAATATCCAGTCTCAAGTTTGTAAGGTGGAAGACTTCAGGCCAAAGGTACTTGCCCATTTAGAATGTATTGAATATATCATGTGAATTTTATGTTTAGTATAAATACCATAACTAAACATAAATTTCACACTTTGGCAATTAAAGGCCTGTCTATCTAAATCCTAAGTGGATAGAGTAGCTCTTGTTTAAAGTATGTTTTATTTGATTAGAATAAAAGGTGAGACCACATCTATATGGTCCATACCTTGATTAGTTGGAAGAATGTACTCATAAGCATTAAGAACTCTAATCCAAAAATGTTGAATTCATGACACCTAAGTGAGATAAAATATCACCTTGAGGATTTTTCAAGGACTTTCGGATAATAATTTTGGCCAAATATTAGATGATTATATTCATCAAACTGAGATTGTGTTTATATTTATATGAACTGTGACAATCTTAATCGTCCATTAGATGAAAAATGGTCTCAACGGATTAAGATATTAATGAAAGGGTAAACGGTAAATTCTCCCAACTTCAACCATTGATATTCAATGAGGATACACATGCTATTAATTGCCATATAGATAGGATTTTAATGTACAATTAATCAAATTAATTTAACAAAGCTTTCTTAATAGAAAATTAAATTAAAGAGTTCAATTTTGGGTTTTTAGTGGAATAGCCTAGAATTAATAGATCAAGGCTCATTGAAATTAAGAGTTAAATAGATAATAAACTTGTTCATTGGAGTTTTAATTAAATATGTTCATATTAGTTTCTTGCGTAACCCTATTTTAATTCCTGAATTGAAAATATAATTTGAGTTATAAAGTTTCCAACCTAACACCACAAGCTCTAGTAAGCCCAACCTAAAATCATCTTTCACTGTGATTCATGTGAGATGTAAAAAAATCCCAACAAAAGGTGCATTAATTCTACAAGGAAAGAGTTGTACCTTAAAACCTACCTTATTCCTATATATTCTATTACAAGAATAAGATGGGTAGAATTTTCTAGTATAAGAATAAGTTAAAACCACTTTTTATATTTTATCCTGCCCTAACCAAATCTCTTCCATAATTAGAGGGCAGTGTAATCTCCTTTCTTCTCTATATAAATGCACTCTTTACTCTCATGTAGGGCATCTAAAACATCATCACTTAAGTGGAAGAAGCAATGGAGAGGCATTTGCTACTTTGCCTTCTAATAACCACTTTGGTGGCTTCCACCATGGCTGCCGATGAAGAAGCTCAACAAAGGGTCGCCGACAGAGTCACAAACTTGCCGGGACAACCACCGGGGAGCTTCCAGCACTATTCCGGCTATATTCAACTTCAAACTCAAAATGAAAAGGCAATGTTCTACTGGTTCTTTGAAGCTCAAACTGAACCTGCTGTTAAGCCCTTTGTAATTTGGTTGAAGGGGGACCTGGCTGCTCATCAGTGGCCTTTGGAGCTGCACAAGAAAGGACCATTTTTGGTACGAAGGCCAAGCTATTTTATAAATCGACTCACAACTCAATAAATACTCTTGGAATAAAGGTAATGACGATCTCGAATTTGCATCTCCTCTATATTTATCATTACCTTTTTTTTTTTTTTTTTTTTTCATTTCTAACCTTCGCTCTTATGTTAAAATGGAATTAGTTGAAATCTTCTATTCCTAGAGTCACCGGTGAGCGTAGGCTTTTATACACCAGCAACTCTAATGATTTACTTGAGATCGGTGATCAAGTTGTAGCCAATGACACTCTTGCATTTACTTGGATGGTTCAAAGGTTTCCCGACTTCAAATCCAATGATTTTTATATATCGGAGAGAGTTATGGTGGTATGGTTTTATTCACATTAATCTTTTTCGTATTATTTTATATTCATTATCACAAGATATTTTTGAATAATAATATAACTAAATTTGTTTTTTTTTCATTAAATTGTTATAGCCATGTGTAATACTCCTTTGTTTTTGGATATATAATGATAAAAATAAAAAGAAAATTATATGTTAATTTCGTATAATATCTTGATCATGTAGAAATAATTTTGCTTTCATCTCTATATTATTTAGGACACTATGCTCCTCAACTTGCTGATTTTTTTTGAAACAAACAAAGGAGCTACCCAAGAATCATGTATCAATCTCAAGGATTCATGGTAGTAACCCTTCCTATTATCTATACACAAAAAAACAAAGGGCGGATCCAGAAATTTTGTTAGGGTGAGCCAAAATAAAAATTAATTGCACATAATATTTTTGTCCATTAATATTTCTGTTAGGTTGGGTCAAAATCTAAAAATTGTACATATAATATTTTTTTTTTAAATTGAGGGTGAGCTCGCCCTGAAAGAACTACTTCTGTTACCTAATATAATATATTAACATTTCTTTCCTTCAACCTACTTAAAATTTGTTTTCTACACTCCACTAAATTGCTAATAATTGAAATTTAATGTTGATTGAAAAAAAAAAAAATCAGATGGGAAATGGTGATTAACGATCAAACAGATACCCTTGGGATGTGGATTATGCATGGAGTCACGGAATCATATCAGACAAACTCACAAAGCTTAAAGGCAGACTGTGAAGATTTTAAGCTCCTCATACAAGTAGTCGATGCAACGATCAACTCAAAGCTTTCTTCGATGCTTTTCCGGCATTGATATTAACATCTACTCCCTGTTTGCGTCCTTAACTTTTCTGCCACCACCAATTCTTCAAACCTTGAAGTAATTAAGTGAATATTAAAATTTAAGAGAATCATAAATTTGCAATATAAATATATATAAACGTGTTTAACTTAATTTAATTTAATTTAATATTTTGATTTTAGGACATACAATCAACGTTTGATCCATGTGTAAACAATTATGTAAGAAAGTATTTCAACCAAAAAGAGGTTCAAAGGGCACTTCATGCCAACGTGACCAATTTGCCCTATCCTTACACTCTATGCAGGTACATTTAATTTGTAAGATAAATACGAGACCCAAATTGTATCAATTTTTTTATTTTTCTCATATTGTTTTTCATGTAATTATTCAGTTCTCAGCTTACCAAATGGACCGACTCTCCGGCGACTGTGTTGCCGACCATTTCGAAGCTCTTAGACGCAGGAATGCGCATCTGGACCTATAGGTACCACATTTTCAAACATTAATACTCTTATAGTAATTTTTTTTAAGTAATTATTCAACCACGTCGATTGGTTTATCATAAAATTAATAAATGATTAATACTACAGTGGTGACGCGGATGCAAGAGTACCGGTGACGTCTACAAGATATAGTGTAAACAAATTAGGGTTACCAGTTATGGAAGAAT